GTCAAGTGTGAGAGGTACATTGTTAGAGCACATTGTGATGGCTCTATTAAGAATGCTAAAAGACATACTTGCTAGAAGATTCAGACCTACAAAATATAAATCAAGACATATTTGATCATGTATTATTTAGGTGGTAAAAGCGTTATTGATCAACATGGTGAATTTCATAAGAGTACCAGTAGTAATAATAAGTAATTAATATTAAGCTACCATCCCTTTTATAATACCAGACTTGCAACAATTAAGAAGTGATGAGCACATCATAATTGAATATACAAATAAATTATAATATTATATCTGTTATTAATTTATATATTAACCACTGTAACCCCAATGATGAATAAATGATTTTTGTAAATGAAAAAAGCAAGAAACACTATATTTGTACTCACAAATAAAATATTTAACCAGAGTGAATGGTGGGATTCGAAGTACTCATCCATTCCTTCTTGTGTAGGGCTACTAAAAGCAGCCTGTCAGGATCAACATGCCATGTGAATCCTTATGTGCTCCCACACTACCTGAAGGAGCAAGTTATCCTGTACCAAGGGTGTACTGGGGTTCGCAGATAATCCACTTGTTTCCTCAGCCTCTTTCTCTGAAGCACACAAATAAAGCGATGTAACGCATTGGTAGCTAGTAGCATGTCCAATTCCATATCATATGCAGTGCCAAACTGCACAGCTAGCAAGCATAGCAAACAGAAGATAACAACAAAACACAAGGTTGAAATTAACAATTCATTTTCACGTTAACGTCAAATCGTACGCTGGCAAACAATAAAAAACCAAAGTATCTGCTTAAAGAGCTCAGATTGATAGAAAAATAATCATTAACTCGAGAAACCGCGTTGCGTATTACAATCTCCCCACAGTGTACAAGATATTTACATCGGGATAATCAGAGATACACTTTTTTCATCTAGTGGACGTACAGCTGGCTCATACAACTTTGATCAGAATGGGTGACGTATTATATCGTTATACACAGGCATTACGTAAGACAAGATTACAATAATAAGACAAGTCGACAACTTCTTAAATCGTTTGTTTACGCTCCCTCATTACAAAAAAAAAAACACAAGATATTTCACCACTTATATAGATGATAGATTACACACATAGAGATGAATAAACATAGAGTATACATGACCTGCACGTGGCAATGGACGATATCAACATGTTGAATAACAAGAACATGCAATCAGGGGGACAAAAGCAATCCAAATAGGCGTGGTCACGCCGACGCTGCGGGAACACCAATTGAGTTTGGCCGACAGGACACGCTTCGTCTTCCGACTAACGAAAACGGCCCGAAATCGGCCTGGTGTGTCAGGGCATTAACCAGAGGAACTATTTTTGATAACTACAGTTTGTATCCATTCAGAATTTGAAATATGATGTGAAGTTGGTCTTGCTACAATAGAATAATAGCCTGTGTTTTTGTGCGTACATAATCAAAGAATGTACAAAGGAAGGAGTACACATATTTTACCACACACAGTTTTGAAAATCATATTTTGGCAGCATAATGTCATTATCATCATACATTATTCAATTGGAAATGGATGTATTCATCAGACACATTATCCCTACAAATCATCATTTTTTCATTTATTTCATCTTATGTGGGAAAGGAAGAATACAAACCCATGACCGTCAGAGTACCGTCCTATATTAGACAATATTTCCCAATCCATTTAACCTTATACTCTCAAAAACATGGGGTTGGTCTATTACTGGGTCACTTTGTTGTTGTCTTAGTTGGGTGTGTATTATTTGATTATCCAAACTTAAAAAAGACCCTGCCTACAGATTAATAAAGAGGGTTCATGTTTCTCTGCTTTTGAATATTAAAATAATTTGCAGTGCCTTTCATATCTACAAACACACAGATTGTAATTCATTTAAAGATAATAGGAACAAGCATGAGATGGTAACCTGGCCAAGTGAGAGGAGGTAGTTGTCATTTAGAAAGTATGTTTTTACATTAATGAAGGATATTCACATTACATTACCATTTCATTTAGCTGATGCTTTTAATCCAAAGCGACTTACAATAAGTGCATTCGGACCAAAGAAGATACAAACTTGAAGAAAACAGAATCATAATAAGTACATTTAGGTTTCAATAGAGCCAAAACCATTTTAAGTGCTACTCAAACTGGCTTTAGATAAAAGCCCAAGTCCCTTTGTTAGTATACAAGTGGCTTTGTCCCTGTCATGGAGTGATTCTCGGGCTCATAGATCTCGGCCTCCATTACGACGGGGTTGTTTAGTTTTTTGTTGTTGAAAAAGTGTTCCCCTTCCCGCCATGTCTCGTCGTTGATTGTGTGCACCTGGTGCCCTGTGTTGTTGCTCCCCCTCACCTGCTCGTCCTGTTTGGTTGATTGGGTTTGGGCATTTAGGGCTCTGGGGTTTTGGCTGTTAGAAGCGGGAGTGTGTGTGAGAATCCTGGTGGCTGCAGGCCGTGTGTATTGTGTTTCATGCAGGGTTATATTGGACGCGCTGACTTCTGCCTAGTGATGCGCGGAGATGAAAGGCCTTATGAAGCTTTGAAGCTTTCCAGCCAATTGGTTCGCAAAAGGGTTCATCTTCCATGAGGCCTTCATCATGGGCCTTCATTTGAAACAAAGTGTGTAAAACAGGCATCAGAAAAAGATTGGACATCTCACCAGTGTGCTCTATCTCATACCGAGTTCTCCCAATGAGTAAAAGCACTTAGAATTAACTCTAAACAACGAACATAAAATCATATGTTCATGTTAACAATATTGTTTTTATTCCAGTTGATTGTGATTGAAAAGCCTAAGGAGGCTGGTAAACATTGCAAAGAGGGATTTGTATTCCTTAGTAATATTCATAAACTTAACCATGTTGTAGCCTGAGAAAGGCTAAACCATATCAAAGAATACATTTATTAACTACATTATCTCATTTAGCTGTAGCTTTTATAAACAACAAAAAAGACATATGACGAGTCGTTGAACCAGGTCGTGAGTCAACTGCTTTCCAGCTGAGCCACAGCACACGGAGTCAGAATCAGAATCAGAATATCTTTATTAGTCCCACAGAGGGGAAATTTGCAGCGTTACAGCAGGAAAGAGCCACAGATAGCTTAGTGTTGCATATCTGAAATTAGTGTTGCACACTGAATATCCCTGAAAACACTGTAAGATATTTATTCCTGTATTTATTCATTTATTTATTCATGTTTTTATTCCTACATTTATTTATGCTTGTATCTATTTATACTTATGACATGTTCCGACCTCTATATAAGTGAGGTTCTGAGCTCTTTTAATTCAATCTTGTCACCAGCGGGCCCGGGCACAGGAGGGGTAATATCGTTCTTATTATACATCCAGGGGTATTATGAGCGTTGTGGTTCAACGGTTCAACCGATCTGAATAACTTCCTGAAGCAGTCACGTGGTATCGACAGGCAGCGAGGCTTCGTTTGTCATCGATGACGTCACTGGCCCAAAATGATACAAGCCTCGATACATGCTTCACAAAAAGCTTTGGGGATAACTTGACACACGCTCCGAAGCCTCGGCGCAATAAGTAACATCACTACTTCTGCCTCCTTGCTTGGTCTGGGCCGCTCAATTGTCAGCTTCACAGTCCCATTAACTCAACCCTCCTCTGCCAGTCTCAAGACTGGATAAAAACACAAGTGAGAAAGCTTCTCAGTGGCGTCAGTCC